AAAAAAAAAAAGAGAGCGAGAAATCCCTGAGTCTAAGCTTCTATACCTAGTTTCCTTCCTGACCAAGACAATTTAATCTGTAAACAACTCCCTTTTAATGATGATTCACATCCATCACCCACAGAATGACTAAAACCACTCACCCCTTTTTTGGGAAGTGAGGTATTGTTCTCTTTAAATTGCTTCCTGCTCTTTTGGGGATGTTCCCTTTGGGGGGACTGCCCCAAGAACATCAGGATAATGGCCTTATCTTAGGAGAGCTGGCTATATCATTTGTTTGTTGATGATTATTATTTAATATGTTTATATTTTAGTTAAGCATCAGTTATTCCTAAACCAGCTGTATACCCAAATCACCACACAGAGACTAGGATGTACTTGATTAACCTAGAGCACAATGCTGGGCAATAGTTACTCCATTCTAAACTTCTACGCCCGCATAGCTTCCTCCCAGATTTCCCACATTATACTTGCTTTTTAGTCATATCTTAGGTCCAGTTCACTTCTCTTGATGCTTCCTGGTTCTCGCCTCTGGGATCTCTCCTCCCATTCCCTTCTTTCTCCTCCCCATCAGACCAGGATGTCCCACTGTATTCTCTCCATTGCTCAGCATTGGCTGGTTGTTTTTATTGGCAATATAGAGAACAAATGGTAGCATGTTTATACAAACTTGGGACAGGTGATGCTTAGATTAAGCCTCACATGTTAATATCTGGATTGAAAACAGCCAGTGGGGTAGAGAAATTAGCATTTGAACGAGCAAAGGTAAATTGTATACATTCCACAAGAACATTATACCGACATCTGTTGTCCAGTCTCTGTGTTCTAAGAAAGGCAAGGGCTTATTTGAAGTTCTGATTGGAATAGTCTGTGATGCTGGATGACCTAGCTAAGTGTATAGATTTTTTTCTGGCTGAAGATTTTTGAGGAAACAGCTACTGAAGCAGTCTGTGAGGCGGAATCAAGCAGAATGCTGGAATAAATATGTCCCAGCTTCTAAGCATCCTTTCCAGCATCCTTTCCAGCATCCTTGAGGGTGACTCTTCTCAGGGCCATTTCAACTTCTTTGGTGTCTGGTCTGTAAACATAAACATTTATAGACAATATACATATTTTCATAAACACATAAATATGCAGTGTGCACAATTATCTAAAACTGATTCTCTACTCTTGAAGAGATGAAAGGCATCTGGCTTTCTTTATAAGCTAGTCTGGACTGTATAACTGAACTGTAATATAAATTTTTATCTATGCCATATGAAAGGCTGGTATGTTAAGTCCTAAGGGATTGTAGCCAAAGCAAAATTGAGGTCTTAGCTGGAGACATTTTCACACAGTCTCAGCCAGTTTCAGAGCTGTTTCCATGTAAAAGGATCAGCAAAGTATGTTACTTGTTTTGTTAGTTTCTTGATTTCTTTCTTCCTGTCTGAAACCAAGATCTTCAGCGGTTCTCCTCTGATCATATCTAATTTTTATAAAGTTGGATGAAAGTCCATAGTTATAAGTTTATAAAGTTTATAAAGTCCATAGTTTTTACTTTCCTGTTGATATAAATACAAAGTCTCTTCCCTAACGTAACACATTTCCTGTTTTCCATTCTCAAGTTAGGGCATCCATAGGCTAATCCAATTCATCAGTCCAATCTAAAATCCAGGGTTTTTTGTTTTGTTTTTTGTTTGTTTCGAAGCTGTGCTACTTGTCTCATTGCTATTTAAAAAATTTAAAGTCAATAAAGCATTATTTAATCTATCTCTGGAAGATCCCATATCCCCCTTCTGTTCTATGAGCATTTTCTTTAAAGTCCTGTGAGATTTCTCCATAACTGCTTGTCCAAAAAGATTGTGATATAGCCGTAACATTTTCTATGCTATGTTTAAAATACTGTATTTTGTTTTGGGTTGGTTTTTTTGTTGTTGTTTTGTTTTTTTAAGACAGAGTTTCTCTGTGTAGTCTTGGCTGCCCTGGACTCACTTTGTAGACCAGGCTGGCCTTGAACTCACAACAATCCACTTGTTTATGCCTCCTGAATGTTGGGATTAAAGGTGTCCCCACCACGTCCATCTTATATTGTGGTATTTTAATGTATACTGTTGTGGGTTATTATTTATTATTGATTTATCTTTTAGTTAAGCAGCAGTTATTCCTAAACAAGCTGTATACCCAAATCACCACACAGAGACTGGGCTTTATTTAATTAACCTAGAGCACAATGCTGGGCAATAGTTACTCCAGCCTAAACCTCCAAGCCCATATAGTTTCCTACCATTCAGGTTTCAACCTGTATACTTGCTTTTAGTCATATCTTAGGTCCGGTTCATCTGTACATGTGGTTCCAAGATCTCCTGTGGATTCTCTGTTCTCCTCCCTTCACTTCCTCCTCTCACACCCCAGGACATCCCACCCTATTTTGTCTATTGCACAGTATTGTGGCTACTTGTTTTAATTGACAACACAGAGAACAAATGGTAGCATGTTTACACAGACTTGAGACAGGTGATGCTTGGAATACAATTTTCGGATTGAAACCAGATCATGGGGTAGAGAAATCAGTATTTGAATGAACAAGGGTAAACTGTATACATTCCAAAAGAACATTATACCAACAGTATACATATGTTGAAGCATTATCAGCTTTAATCTGTAAAAACATATCTAAGATAGTCGTCATTTCTGATAAATGGGCAATCTCAGAATCATCTTCTTAGAATTCAAAGCAAAAGCCCATTGGAATTCTGAATATAAATCTACGGTATGATGCACATTTCTTGTTTTTCTAAACTCTGCAGAATGAATCATATAAGCTATTGTATGACCTTTCTCTAAGGTAACATTATTGAAGAGAGTCTTTATTTTTAATTAAGTATATAGTCCTTCATGTAGTAATTCATCCTTGACAATATAAATATAATGTCTAGTCTGGTTACGATGATGCATAGGTGAAGCTTTTTAAATATTCTTTATTTTATGTATATGAATGCTCTATCTTCATGTATACCTACTTGCCAGAAAAGGATATCAGAACTCAATATAGATGGTTGTGAGCCACCAAGTGGTTGCTGGGAATTGAATTCAGGACCTCTGGAAGAGGAGACAAGTATGTTTAACTGATGAGCCATCTCTCTAACCTAACTGAAGCTTTTTTTAGAAAAATAAATTATTTACTTATTATTTATACATATTCTGAATGCATATGCACCTGATGGTTCTGGAGCTGCTACATAGCTGTTGGCAACTGAACTCAGGACCTTTGGAAGAACAGCTAGTGCTCTTAACCATTTGCACCATCTCTCCAGCCTCCTTAATGAAGCTTTTTGATTTAGTATCTCTATGGGCTGCTATTACATGATCTACTTTCAAGCCTTTGTGGATTTCTCTCTCCTGGAACTACTTTTTTCCTGTTACTGCAGGTTCCAGACTGGATTGCTCTGAAGATTCTTTATTCTGATTTAAAGAATCCTCTAATCTCTGCCTTTTGTCTCTATTCTAACATTTAATTTTTCAGTCTTTTTCTTCTCTAAGTCAGTTTTCTTCTGATCTCTTTTAAATAGGATATGTAAAATTGAACATATAATTGACCATTATTGAACATATCATTAAAACATACAATCATTTCTGTGCTGACAGTCAAAATAAAATTATAGGGTCCAAGAGTCCTCTTTTACACTATTTTCCATTGTTTTAGCATGGAAAATACTTTTCTTTGTAATCTAATTTTCTCTTTTTTACAGACTTCATTATTTAAACTCTTTATTACTTCTTTTTTAAATTAAATTAATTTATTCAATTTACATCCTGACTGCAGTCCCCTCCCTCCTCTCTTCCTGGTTCCACCCTCCCACTTTCTCATCCCTTGCCCCATCCTCTTCTCCTCAGAAAAAGGACCCCCACCACCACTACCAACAACCCGCCCCAGCACATTGACCCTCCTTGTTTCACTGAGCTGGATGCCGATGGGCCGGAAGTGTAAGCCATAGGACCAAAAGGTCTGGCTTCCAGGCAGGAAGATCTCTGGTTAAGCAGAAGAGTGCTGGTCAGGAGAAAATATTCCTCTTTTAGGCTAGGCTGCCAGCACCAGGCCAGATGGCAGCGAGGAGCTCAGGGCCCTGAAGCCTGAGTCAGGTGGTGGTGTGTAATTCTAGAAGAACATGCTAATAATGTTTATTATTAGTGCATACCTATTATGGTGGTATTATCTAACCTGCTATCATAATCAATAAAGACTCTTAGATTTTAGATTTGCCTTATTTCATCTTGGGCTGGGAAGATAATTCCATCTACACTATCTCATTATCTCCCAGCACCCATCCCATGTCATCTGCTTTAATCATTCCTATCTGGATTATTTTTCATCCATAATCTCTAAATACTTGCTTATATTTTTTATTTGAGCCATTTCTTTCCACACCAAAGCCTCTCTGAGTTGCCTTGCTTCTCAGAGCAGAGGGGCAGTCACCTTTCCAAGCCCCACAGAACAAAACTGGGCTGAAGTTTTAAGTTCTGTTCCCAGCTACATGAAGCTGCTGGGCCATGATGTGGTCAGTGCTCACCTTCTCCTCTGTCTGCATGGGTGCTCTAAAGAGAAGCTGTGGTGTAGCTCTGAAACCACCAGCTGACTTTGCTCATGGCTATTTAATTGTTCTGCTGCATAGTGGGGCCTCTTAAGGTATTGCAGCTGTGAAATGCAGTCAGCTTTATTGCTCCTAAGTAGCTGCTTTTAAGGGCTTTCCTGCCTGGCTAGCTGAGCTTTCTCAGGCCCTATGCTTGCATTTCTATCTAATTTTGGATTATTTGCTGCACATTGGGTACCTTTTTAAATGATATGGCATAATTGGGGGGGGGTGTTATTTTTAGTTACTGCTCTAGCTCACAAATAATAACAGAGACCTATTAGATTTATTTAACAAGCTTGAAAGCAGTAGAGCTGGGCAGATATTGATCTGTTCTAACCCGTGTATGCCAGTCTTGCTATTTTCCAGCCATATGCCCGAGTTACTTGCCATATTGGTCTTGCCTGGGCTGTTTCTGTTCTATCAGGTCAGTCCTCATCATGAGCTCCCCATGACCACATCCTTTTTCTCCTTCTTTCTTCTTCACCTCTACTTCATGGTCCCTACCTGAGATCCCTCACTGGAACAGAAGTCCAGCCCCTCTGTCTCCTATCCCCGTCACTGGCTGCCAGCTACTTTATTAACCAATCAGAGATAATTGGGGAGTGATGTTTATACAACATTGACACAGAAGATTCTTCATAAAAATAATGTCCATGTCCAGGCTGTAATCAAATCTTGGGGCACAGAAATTAGCATTTGAAAACACAGCATTGTGAAAACTGTTAATTATTTTAATAGTTATTGTATAAAATATTGACACAAGGTGGGACTGTTTAACATTCCTTGTGGTAAGAACTTCCTGTAATATCTCTTAGTTGGCTTGGCATGGTTAAATGAGGGCACAGTGAAAGCAAACTTTTCTCTATCTTGTGGTACTGCTACACAACAGAGTGCTACTGGATAATGAATTATCAGTAACCACTACAACAAGGATGACTTTCAAAATCATTATGCTAAGGGAGAAAAGCCAGATAAAGCAGAATATGTACTGTGTGAACTAATCCTTCAAACTTTTTTTTTCAAGACAGGGTTTCTCTGTGTAGCTCTTGCTATCCTGAAACTCACTCTGTAGACTAGGCTGCCTTCAAACTCAGAGATTCATCTGTCTCTGCCTCCTGAGTACTGGGATTAATGGTGTGCATCACCATCGGGTACTGTGTGAACTATACTGTATGTTTTGTACAAAGTAAAAAACATTCTGTAGAGACTGAAAGCAGATTAGCCATTGCAGTGGAGAAAGAATTACAGTAGGTGGTTTCATGTGGCTGAATTCTTGTCAACAGCATGTGATTGAAAATGGTATCTAGACATTCCTCTGTGTAGCTCACTACAATAACCCATGCAACCCTCCCTGATTGTTCCTTCCCATGTTCTAATTGACTGAAGAGGACTTTGAGAACCTAGAAGCAGAGCCATAAGGTATACTTGAATGATTTCATAAACAAACTATTTCAACCATGAATGTAAG